AGCGTGAGCGTTAATATAATGAAAGATTTGAAATTCCCCCCCCCCCCCCCAAAAAATGCCATATAAAGTACAAAAGAATGGATTTCGCCTCCTATTAACAAATCAATTATGACAAGTAAGCTTCTCTCAGCCAATTTGGAACGATTTCCACGACGGATTAAATCTGCGCTCACGCGTTAATAGCGCGAAATATATCGCATATTAATAGTCCCAAATTGGCAAAAATGGCAATCTTTAAACCCCCATAACTCTACCAAAAATGGCTACAGGTGAAATATCTTTTCAAATTTAAGCTCAAGACAACAATATTTTTTGAATGATATAAAAAAATTCTGTCAACAATGACTAGTTAAAAAGTCGAAATTTGTCTGAAGAAAAAAACTCACCCCGAGCACAAATATTCCATTACTTTCGTATCGAAAATCAAAACAATAAACTCTGTGAATGTCATTGTTTCAAAGTTTTGACCTCAACAACTCAAACTTGTTTTTTTTTCTCAGATTTAAAGGTTTTGATTAAAGTGCAAGCTTGAAAGTACCACGGTGCTAGGTCGTGCGATGGTATAAAAAGACTGGTTGAAATCAAAATTTTTGTCCATTTTTAACAAATTTACGCGTAAAAGTTTCCTTACCTCAGCTCAAATACTTTATCAGCATTTCGGTTTTATTGTGAAACCGTCATTAGTAGAAATGTTATTGTTCCTAAGAGTGAAAACGAGATCAGGTGATTTTGGTTGATTCAATTTTGATTTCAATTTTCATTGACATTCATATAATTCAGACTTTTTCCTAAAAACAATACCAATATTTGTCTTAAAAAAGTAATTTAATGGACAATGCTCTAAATATTTTCATTCAAATTAACTCACTTTAAAAAATTACATCCAACAATTTCCTTTCATTTAAAGGGGTTTGAAAATTCAACCTTTAATAATTTGATTATCACCAAGCTTCCACGTTTTCTCTAACGCGTTCTAAATTGCACTGTGCGGAGGAGGTTTCTAAAATATTATAAATTCAAACCTCAGATCAAATATTATTCAGATACTTTGACTGACAGCCGAAAAATTCAGTGCCTCGCCAAGACGAGCTGTCTTTTGAACATTTCATTGGTATTTTATATTAACAACATCAAATTGTTTGAGTTGCTAACTAAAGTGGTTTCTGTTTCAAAGCTTAAGGAGATAATTTACTCCCTGCAATTTTTTGCAAACCAGAAGTCATTCCTTTAAGTGCCACTAATGTTGTATTTTCTATAAAGCTATATCTCATACTTCAAAATTTTTCATTTTGAAAAAAATCAAAATTGGTGCAAACCTGTACCCAGCGAAGGCTGTTTTTCGAGATAGAAATGTTATTTAGATTACCTAGCCACACTTTTTGTTTTTTTTGTACAAAAACAATCTATTTCTTTCTTAGTGTAGAAATAAACAATTTCTGCAAAGACATAACCAGAAATCATTTCACTGCTCAACCGCAACGAGATAAACATGCTTCGAGTATACACAATAGACGTAGCAATACAATGCAAATAAACACTCGTCATAACATCGTTGCTTTTTCTGGTTGCTAAAACTGTCATATAATGTTAGGTCATGTGGCATAACGGTTAGCACAGCCGCCCTTAAATGCGTAGATCGGGAGTTCGAGCTACATCCGGAGCACTTTTTCTAGCTTGCAATAGCCTAGATTTAGCTAATTTTTGATCAGAAATAAGATGAGACATAAAAAAATGTTGAAAAATACCTGCTTTGTTTAAACACTTCTCAAAGAATTTCTGACCAGAAAATTAGATTAAATATAAAGTATTCCAGGTCAGAAAAAAAGTTTTCTCGGTACGGAGAACAGTATGTTTGCGATAAAATTCACATTAAGCCTCATATCCAAAATTACTCAAGCTTAACTGAGATATTGTCCAATTTGGAGCAAAAAAAAGTTTTGCAGCTTATCAAGTTTCAAAAGCAGTCACCTTTCAGAAACGTTCAGAAACGTATTTTTGCAATCAAAATTACCTTTTAAAAACACCCGTCAGGGCTAATTTTTTTTTCGGCTGATTATGAATTTGACTATTTTTCAAATGATTTTAGGGAAAGTTTCAAATATTTCCAAGACTTCAGTAAATAAAACAATAAAAAATTTAGAAGGTACACGTCAGAGAATACTTTCAGTTCTTTTTGTAATTTCACTCTTCGTTCTTCAATTACTAATCTTCCCTGGTTGAAGTTGAATTTACAATTTGTGGAGCTTCCAATATTTATAATCTGACTCATTCCTGATAAAAAATTGTACTCTACAGCGCTGAATCAGCATTATTTTATCAATACAACATCAATGTTTGAAATCAGGGGCGGGGGCGAATTTTCAAAAATTTTTAAAAAATTTTGTTGAACTTCTTTTTGATCTATCCATTTGAATTTCCTTGTGCTCCCAGAGCCGGAAAGTTTTGAAAACAACAGGTCAAAAATGCCGTTCAAAAAATAAGAATATATTGGCACCAGAGTCGCTTTTAGAAAAATTTTAGAGTTGGTCGGCCGAAAACAGATGTTCAAAGATAACCCCAAAAAAGGGACTTACTTTGTTTGGCGAATGGGTCGAATCCTTGAAAAAAAACATCTTCCCAACCCCCTACATCCGCTTTTGTTTGAAATAGCAAAAACATATATATATATATATATATATATATATATATATATATATATATATATATATAATTAGAATGTAGAGAGTTAAAACTTTGTTAATCTACGAAGATAGTTAGGTAGACTTCATATAGAGTCAAAACAATGCAAATAAAGTTGTGTATCCTTATTCATTATGAGACCAAACTGTGTGCACTGGATAGGTGCACAATTTTGGATCGGAAGCTCCTGGATTCCAAAGACAAGTCTTTGAACATGTTTTAAGCTTTAAGTGGAGTATTTTTACAAATTTTCTGCGGATTCCGCGTACAAATACCTGCAACGTAAAGTTCATTGGTACATTAAGTTTGTTGCAACGAGCGAACATAAATAGTTGAATAGAGGTTCCGCAAATATTAGTAGATTCCGCAAATTATGCGGATTACGCTTACAATTTGCGGATACCGCTCGCAATTTGCGGAATACACGTACAATGTGCGGATGCGTCTTACAATTTGCGGATTCCACTTACAATTGCGAATTCCGCAAATTTTGTTGCGGATTCTGCAAAGTTGCCAGTTTTTGGAGCTTTCTTGAACAATGAAGTGTTTTAGCTGTTTGTCTGTGGAGTCAAAAATAGCAAAGAAGATCAAAAAAGTCTTGAGGATTCCGCAGCAATTCTGTTTTTGGCTTGTTTTCGGAATCCACTTACAATTCACAAAACGCACAGTTTGTGAATTGTAATGTTGTGCATATAAAAAAATGTACAAGCCAAAATTCATAACATGAATAGGTCCAATTATTAATAAAACATCCATGAAAGTAGTAAACGTATAATTTTCACATGCTAAGTTGGGATAATGTTTGACCAGAACGAAAGAAAGGAGTAGCTGAACTGAATGCCTTATAGCTAAAATCTAATTTTTCAATTAGATTTACAAATTTTGCGTAAAACCTTTTCTGCAAAAAACAAAGCAAAATGCTGACTTAAAAATATTGGTATGAAAATATTATTAAAGTAAAAAATATTCTTAAAAAACATTCCGATAAAAATATTCCTAAAGTATTCCAGTTTTATATTGCGGGACCACTTGGGTGAGAAAAAAACGAAAAAAAACCTCCTGAAACGTTTATTTGCGGTAAGCAACTCTCCAAAAATGGTTGCTGCTCGATAAACTCTCTGACGAAAAATTTCGATGCGTAATACTTTTTTGATCAAATCAGTTCCACCATAAGAAAATTTCCATTGAGTCATCAATGTAATTTTTATCTAAGTTTCAGAGTTGAATCATGATGAACATCGTTGAAAGTGCTCTTCGAGTGCAAGATAAATGATTGACACCCGCACCGAGCGCCCAAGGATTCTAATCGATTATAATGGATTCCCGACACAAAAACAATCCATTATAATCCATTATAGATGTAAAATTCAGACCACGAACTTGATTATGTATTGCCATTTAAATCGATGATTTTTCAAAAAAAAATCCATTATAACCCCATTAAAATCGATTATAATCCATTATTTTTTGGCAGAGAAGTCAATTATTTTTGCCAAGATAATCCAATATAATCGATTATTTTTGAAATAAAAATCCATTATAATCGATTATAATCCCTGTTATTTTTAGAACTAAATTCGATTAAATTTGTAAATTTTGTAGGAAATTTGCAAAATGTAAGCTATGTTTTTACTAAATGCCATGTCTCAACGTCACCCCCTCAAGTTATTTTACCTCCCCCAACTAAAGAGTCAATCATTAACCCCCTCGCAAAATCAACTAATAAAAAACCCCCCACCTTGTTCAACTATAAGTGGGGGTGGGCGACTGGCAGTTGTTGTAAACTAGCCGGTGGGTGGGGAGGGGGGTAAATTAAACTGAGTCGGGGGGGTAAATTAAACTGAGGGGGGGGGGGGGGGTGGTAAGGTAAACTGGGAAGGGGGGTACGGTGAAGTAGATAGCTTTTTAAATGTGAAATGTAAAATTTTGAGAAACGTACGTAACAACTGCAGTAAACAGGAAACGAGATAACTTTGAAAAAAATTGTAATTTTCATGAATAACGTCTCGAAAAATCCATTATAACCGATTATAAATGATTATAATGCATTATATTGGCATAAAAACTATAAAGATAATAATCCATTTTTGAAAGGATTATAAATTATTATAACGGTTTATATTGACATAAAAATACTATGAAAATAATCCATTTTTTATGGATTATAATCGATTATTTTGCAAATTTATAGAAGCTGACCATATTATGACAAAATAGTCGATCCATGGGCGCTCGGGGCGGGTAGATGCCGAAAATTGAAACAGTTGTGATAGATTTCTGCATTGCAAGTCAACTTTAACCCAAGTTGGCCTTTTTCTTACTTGGCGTGGTCAGTTTGTGGGGTGACGCATCCGGAGACGCAGTAGTAGCAGTCTCCCAGAGTGGCTATCTTTTCACAACGACACTGCTCGCATAACTCATCGAACCTGGAAGATAAACAACATTTGAATGAACAAAATTATCATTATACCTTAAAACCATTAAGTTTGTCGTATCAGGTCATTTTTGACTCCAAACTGTTTTTCTGTTTTTCAGCTGGCAGGGGTAAAAATCTTAACAATGAGTGGTCACTGTAAAATGCATCTAGATTTGAACCGGGTTTGAGGGCCCTCCTTCCTCCTCCCTTCGGAAAATAATTGATAGGGCCTGGGCTCTTACCTGCCGTAGAGGTCATTCAGTAGATCCACTAATTCTGCCGCACTCTTCCCACTACTCATGTCTGTGAAGCCCACTATGTCTGCAAACAGGATGCTCACATTCTCCTTCAGCTCCACCTTCAGCTTCCGGAACCTATTCCATGTCGACCTCTGCAGTTCCCTGCACGAAAAAACTTTGACTTTCATCTAATGTCAAGAAGCTAGCAGGCACATCTTTCTGACAATTGTCGCGAGCTGGTTTTGTGTCGTCATAAAAAACCACGCAAATACGCGGACTAAACGTGTTTTTATTTTTCAGATGACTCTTGTTCATTTCAGAAATAATCATTCTAATGGTTAATGTATCACTTAATTCAAGCATCATTTACAAGTTTTTTTCTTTCGACAAACAGTCAATGAACTGAGAATAAATTCCGAGAAAAAGGTAATTTCCTTTTAGCTGAACAGCGTTCAGATGAAAAAAGTTTTTTCCTCATCCCAAACAGTAACTTCAAAATTCAGCGAAATAAAGTATATAGAACAGACTGTTGTTGAGCATGTGATGGAGATTTATTGCCCCTTGTCCCTCTTGCGGAATCTCTGGGCACTGTCTCACTATTATTCATGTCAGCCAGACTCTGCAGTGCCAGATTGCGAGGCATCACAGACATCAGCATGTTCTCCAAGTTCTCCTTCTCCTGTCTGAGAACTTGAAGTGTGATCAACTTGTGAGCTTCGGTTAGAAACAGAATGCGCTGTCTGCTACATGTCACGTGAGATAGATGCATCAAAATAAGGTTGAACATGAGGCACATCCAGAAATCTACACGAAAAAGATCCAATTGAGATTTTGAGAAGGCTGGAACTGGACAATGATGATTGTGAAGTAGTTAATCGATATTTCATGCTCCCAAGCATTTTTCCGTATATCCCAATAAATTGCCCCCTGCTGTTGTTTTCCATTAAGTAATAGAAAAAAATCGAGCCAAGAAATTTCAGTGGGGAAGATTTTAGTATTTTTTCCTATTTTTGCGATTAATTAAATATTTCCTTGACTAAACATTTGTAATTTATTTCATGGAACGAACGAGCAAGAAAAACAAAAAAAATGCCATCTTTATTGAAGACTGCGAGAACATTTTGTTTTTTTTTCTGCTATTTTTTGCTCATAATATTTGAACTTTCTTTTTATTGACAATCGGGTAATTCAATCGCATATTGTTGGGCGAATAAGATTAAGCTGTGCAAAAAAATCTGAATTTTTATCGGGTTTTTGTAGGCAAGGAAAGCGATATGACTGACCAATATGTTTTGTTTTTCCTCTTTAAAAACTTATCGTAAATAACAACTGATATTTTTTTGCCTAAATCATAAACAATACCTGTTGCAAAACTCAGCATTGCCTCCTGTGCACTTCCTAAGAGTTCATGTCCTAGTCCATTATCATCAAAATTTATCCGGACGCTAATTTGGTTTGCGACGAGGGTGATTAAACTGTGGAAGATAGAGAGCGAAGATGCGAGCCAGAAGCGGAAATTTGAAACGTAATGGAGAAAACACGAGGTGAAGACAATTGTTGAGAACGTGAATGCGTCCATTGAGAAGCTGATGCTTGAACACCTGAAAAAATATCAAGCTCCTCGAGATTTGAAGACACCACTCGATAGGCAGCTAAATGGCCTTTTGGTGTTTGGATAGGGTTTTTTGTTAAGATTTGTGAAAATAATAATCGAGTCTGTTCCCTTCATGAGAACTAATTTATAGCTACATAATAATTGATGATATCTTCAAAAACGGTGGAAGATGGTCCCACAATAATTACTTAACAAACTGTCCTTATACAGTCTATTATAAACTCTTATATGGGCCACAGAAAAAGAAACAAACAAAAGATTGAAAACTTACAATTTTAAAGCTCTATCAAGAAAATCAGAGAGGTCAGTCAGAACATTCTGCGTTTTCCCAGATACCAAAAAACTGGGCGCCGGACATCAAACTGGCGGGACTTCAAACCAATTAGTAAAAAAAGTGACTTCAAGCCGAACATTTTCTCAAAAGTCATAAAATATGAAATTGTTTTGAAGAATTTCTCAATTTCATGATCTTTTATTACCAGTTATTGACTTGTTCATAAATTTTGAGCCTCCAATTGATGTTAAAGAATTTCAAAAAAAATCGTTGAAGGCGTTTTTCATGTGCATAAATTAAGCATTTCAAAATCCAGCTGTTGTAACTTAACTAACTGTCAGCACTGAAGTTTCATTGATAAATATCGATTATATTATGTTTTCAGTGTCAGTCAACACAAAAACAAAAAATGATTGATTAAAAGAGATTAAAAATGGAATTTAGTTGAATTTTTTGTTAGAATAAAATTGGATAATAATGATTTCTTGGATTTAAATGGATTTTCGAATATTGAAAATACTCGATTAAATTCCCTTAAAAATCCGTTTTTATGGTTGAATGGGTCTTAAAATTGATTATATGGGTTAATTTTTTGTGGATATAATCCATTATTATTGATTATTTTCCATGAAAATCTAGCGCGAATGAGGCCATTTCTAAAAGGAGAATTGTCGTGGTTACCGCTTAATAAACTTGCCTGAAACTTTGAAAAAAAACTTTTTTAAAATCCAAGTTTTGGCTAAAGTCCCGTCTTATTGAAGCCCCGTCGTTCTGTTGTCCTAGACTCAAGAAAATTTGTTTCTAGTTCAATTTGACCTTTAAAAATTTTAGCAGAGCGCGTTTGTAAAAAAAAGTTATCGGTTTATCGTAACAAAAATTAAAATCTTTTTAAACTGGAACACTTTTTATCAAAAAATAAGAGCCCTATTTCTTTGAACTTTCATGATTCTTGTTTTTTTTTAAATTGCTGAAAATTTACAAAAACTCACAAAAGATGACAAATACAAAGACAAACAAGCGTTAGAAAATTAATGTTTTTCTAATTAAAAAAAACTTAAAGCGAAAAATATTAGAGACGTTTAATGTTTTTGGGCTAAGAAATCGTCAATTGAAGCATTCGATCTCATTTTTTGGCAAGAATGCATAAATGGGAAAAGAACATGCTTTCAGAATTTCAGATCTGAAATGGTTGCGATAAGATAAAATAACGCTTGGATACTTTAAGAATGAATTATTTCAAATCTAACTTCATATCTGAAGATTTGTTTTTCTTGGTTACTTCAGATCTGAAAAAATCAAACCTTCTGAGACAGTTTTTTTGGGCTATTTCAGGTAGTTCTAAATTTTAGAGCTTCTGTTGGCTACTAGCCGGGATTTAGTAAACTGGTGACCTGCTGAAATGTGTTTCCAAAAACCTGAGATAATCTTCAGAGTTGCGGTAGTAGTTTGAACTTTAAAAGTCCCCGAGTTGACCAAAGGTCATGACCTTAGAAATTTTCTAGTAAGAGTTTTACAATTTCTCACTAAACTAGGCTCTAAGAATGGGGAGGCTCCAAGATAGGAATTTTTCTTTAAAGAAAGTTGTAAAACATTCCATGATTTTTTGTTTATAATTTCAATAACTTTTTTTAACCAGTTCCAAAATTCTCCGCTGTCACGGAGTAAAGTAACGTTAAGGACAGAAGACTCGTTGTGCTGCATGAGTTAACCAATGAGCCGACTTACTTTTTAGAGTTCGTTTTTTTTGCAGATTTGTAGGATTTCCTTTTTCAGTCTATACCTGAACCCTACCGACAACCCATCCAAAACTATATGACATGATTCGTAAAATTTGATTTTTTTATATCCCCGAAAATTTTTTGAACTGCTAGTTTGGTAGAAAAGCGAATTTTAATTGGAAAATGATTCTTTTTGGTTTTGGAAATGTTTGTTCGAAATTTTTTGGTTTTGGAATGTTTGTTAAAAATCATTATACCCACAATCTAAATATTTTCACATGCATAAGTTTGGAAAAAAATTGAACTTTTCCAAACTTTTTTTTGTTTCTATCGTATAGAAATTTTTTCAAACTGTTTTTCGGCAATTTTTTTGATTTTTTGAATCTTGAAATTTTTAAAAATAGTTGAACAAAAAAATAAGTTTTGTTTTTATTTGTTGAATTTTTTGGATACTTTTTTACCGCTAACCCGGGTTGAACAAAAATGCTAATCATACAATTTTCATATATGCAAAAATTCTAATCATACACTTTTTATGCAATTCCATAAGTACAGTAAAATGCATGAAAAGTCTATCATCAGTGATTTTTCACATATGGAAACTGTATGACTTGCATTTTTCCATAAACCAAAAGATTTGATTTTTTATAAAATTTGACTTTTAAAAATTTTCGGGTTGTGTTCGTAATCGAACACAAATGGCAAAGTCCTTGGTTGCTCAAAAACAAAGTAACCAAAGATTTGACCGTTTTGCGATTACAATGAATCGAAAACGGCCTGATTTGACTTAGTTTTTTCATAACCAAGTGATATTATGAGAGTATCAAACTTTCAATTTTTTCGCAAAAACTTTCATAGGTGAGTTTTCTAAGTTTGAATTTTTACTTAACCATGCATTGATCAAGGCATACAAAAACATGCCATATAAACTAGATAAGGTTTTGAGCGTTTTTGAAAAAAAATTATCCTGAGAAACGAAAAAAAAACTTTTGTGTATCCAGGATTATGTTATCCAATACAAAATTCGTTTTGCGTTTGGAAAAAATTTTTGGCGCTACTTCGATACTACTTTGAAAAACTTTTGCTGTCGCCATCAAAAAATGCTAGTCATAGTACTTCCATATACAGAAATTGTATGACTAGCATTTTTTTGACAAAAGTTTTTCTTTGTTATTTATGACGGTACATTGAAGTTTATGCCTATTCAAGAACAAGCTCTTTGAAATTTTGATGACTTCATTTTAGTAACAAGTATAAATTTTGTTTGATGAACATTTTTTCATAGAGTTAATTTGTTGAATTTTATGATAAACGTAATCGGTCTATCGAGGTCAACCCGGGAACTAAACATCTAAATATAATTGTGTATTGCAAAAACAGCAAAAAACAAAATCTCAACTGTTTGCTCGAAATGCATATATTATAATTGAGATATTCTACCTCAATAATTTATTCTACCTGTGATTATTTTTGATGAGGGATTGAAAACTGCAAATTCAGCTAATATGGGATCATTAATGCGCACTATTTACTAACGCTTTCTTAACGCAAATCGTAAGCGTCGAATTAATTTGGCTGAAAAATCATTCCGAATTGAATTGGTCCAAATAACGCATTTCAAGGTAAAATCATATTATTTTGGTATTTTGAACTTGAAATTCCATTTTGGTATGTGTGAGTGGAAAATTTAAAAAAAAAACGAAGTTCTCGATTTTTCAAACATTTTTTTTCTTCATTTTAATCCTTTTTTAACAAAAAAAAATACTTAAAAGGTAGTCAAAACGTCTAGGACTGCGCCCCAATACGAGCAGTCCCGTGTGGTGCGTTCTGAAAAACAATTTACCCAAACCTCGAATCGTTTGCATGAAGGGCAGCAATTTGACTGCAAGAGAAAAGTAAAAGAATGATGTAAATGATTGCCATGTGGATAGAGTTTTTTGTCTCTTTTGCTAAAATCTTGTAATCAATAATTTCATATCTTTCATTCATTAGCTCTAAAACTAACAAGGCTGAAAATAAAGTAATCAATATAAAGTCAGTAATAAGTTTGGTTGTATCAATTACTGACGAGTTGTGATTAGAACTACTGAAAAAACGAAAGAAGTTAGTCAAGAAGACACCGAGTAGAAGAATAATTGTAGCTAGGTTAAACATTTGTCGTCGGAAGTTTCTGATCTTATCTGTGCTCCTGTTGTAATCGTGTTCTAATTCGATGTTGTCGAACCTGAAAACAAAATTTTTGTTGTCAAACCTCCAAAGCACAACAGAATTTTTCTCATTCTTATTGTGCCATATTGTCTAATATTTCCATTTACCTGTCAATTTTTAAAAAGTTAAACAATGACTTATGATTCGAAGTGATGAAAAGAAGTTCACATTTTGCTTTCAGTTTTGTACACAAATGACCTTAAACAATATATTTTTAAACCATTTAACCATTTAGAATTATCAACATTTTAATCAAATCAAAATTTCCTGTATCCCAAATTGCACGAAGCGTCAGGAACTAACCTGGGCGTCAGCAGCGAGTTATCTTTTTCCTTGGGACTTATTGAAGGCCTCAAAATGGCCCGAATAACGGCCACAAGTTTCGTCACTGCCATGTTTGCCGACCCCAAGTCGCGACCAATTTGTACCCGAGACCAACTAATAATAATAATAACGGCACAAATTCGACATTTACGACAAATTACTATGCCCAAAACGTCGCAAAAAAGTATATTCAATTTAGTTTTTATTTTTTTTTTGCGGTTGTTATCAATACGTACAAAAAACGTTCAAAAACCAATAAGTAAAATAAAAAAATTCTAAATCAAAATGAACAATTGCACGACAGTTTTTGATTGCTACAATAACGACAAGGAAGACAATATCTGATTGTGTTTTTAGGAAAATGGAAAAGGATAAATTTGGTCTGCAAATTGAGGATGCGAGAATGAAGAAAGATAAATTTGGTCTGTAAATTTGATTAAGCCCTCCAAGAAAATTTGCCACCAGCTCGAAGAATAAAAAGGAAGGAGTCTATAATGAAAAATTGTTCATACAAGGTAAATTTTAATCAAGCCTCCATTGTTAATCAATATTTCACTTGATCAATCTGGAAAAAGAAAATTGACGAGTTTCAATTTTCAGGGATTTGACAAAAAATAACGCTATAAGATAATGGTCAGAAAATTTTTCAGACAGATAGTTTGCTATTATTTTTATTGTTGTAGAAAAATTGCTGACTCTTCAAAATAAATTGAAAGTTTCCTGCTACTTTGTTACTTTCAAAGTCAACTGTTTTTTTTTTTTATTTTTAACCAGCTGCTGGATGAATTAGCTGGTAGGCTCAATGAGCGCGAACAAAATCATAAGCCCTTAAGAATGTTTTGTGTAGCGAATGAATATTATCAAACCCGTTGACTCGTGAAACACAGTTAGAGTTTGCTACAACAGAACTGACTATTGTATTTTGAGGACACTGCGCATAAACAATAATATGGCATGATCAATATTGAAAAAATAAATAGCCCGGTGGCTTTATTGTTTGATTTCTTTGAACTCAAAATGTTTTCAATTTCATAGTGGTCTTATATTTTCAAATCATTGCGTTTTTCCAATAGTTCAAAATTGTACCAGTTTCTATAAGATTTTTATTGGATGACCGGTTATGAATTTTCTGTAAAAAAAGGTGTAATATGAGTGGTTTGCAAAGATTAGCTGCTGAAAGGTAAGAGCTATAATTGGAGAGAAAAACAACTGAAATTTGAGTAGAAAGCAAGAAGATCAGAACAAAGGCTCACATTTAAAACTTGTTTGGCATTGTTGATCCCATCAATGAACATCAGTCTAACTGAAGGGTTTCAACTTCCCTAACTGATGGCTAGGGTACTGGGGCTGAGAAAAAAACGCTAAAAAAGTTTTATTCGCTAAAAGATGCTAGACGTACAAATAATAGAATAAAAACTCAACGATAAAATTTTTTTTCCGAAACTAGAATTGTTCGACTATCATTTTTCGAGTAAAAGAAAAGTTAAAAAGTTCTTGAGCTTCACTTAAGGTTTGGTGTTATGACCAAAAACACAAAAACCAAATTTTTCTCATAAAAGAAAGTCTATAAGTTAGGTGGCAGAGAGTTAAGAATCTCGAATCGAAAATATATTGTGTCTGGGGATTATATACATTGAAAATGGTAAGGAACTTTGTCTTCGGGTGTTGTTTTTTTTCAATCAAAATCAGGTATCTAAATAAATCAGCGGAATGGATCGAGTCATTTATCATACTGAAGGGTTGACAAAACATGCCGATCATACAATTTCACTCTATGAAAAAAATGCTTAGCATACTATTTGGATCAACTTCATATATCAAAAAAATAGTAAGAAAATAGTACGATAAGCATTTTTTCCATACTCTGAAATTTTATAATAGGCTTTTTTGCGATATTTGGAAATAAATAACAAGTTTATGCCATATTTTTATCACAAATTTTTTTGAAATAGCAAAAGCATCCGCAACACAAATCGAGGATTTTCTGTCATAAGAAAATCAAGAGTGTAATTGGCAGTTACCACGCAGATAAACATCATTTGGTGATATTAACTTTTCACAAAGAGATATATACCAAGAACTTAAATTTTTGTATTAGGCCAAAAAATTGGTTTTAAAAGTTCGGTGCTCGAGAAGAGAGGCCTGTTTCTTTAACAAATTTACAATTTTGTTTTAGAAACTTGTTAAATTGAAAACTTGTAGAATAAAAAACAGTAAATGTTTTTATAAAATTTTTTAATGTAAAACGGATACCCGAGCACAGAAGCACGTTTGCAACCAAAAAATGGATGAAATATAAAAAGTTACCTCAAATATTTTACAGTAAAAAATGCTTATCACACAATTTCATATACTTTTGCCATTAAAGTTGCTCATGTGTAAACAAACTGCAAACGATGTGCTTTGTTTATGTTTTCAACCAATTTAAGACAACTTTCGTTTGAAAAAAGGGCTTGTCATACAATTTACTTCTATGAAAAATGTATGATAAGCATTTTTTCCCTAGACTGTATATGAAATTGTATGATAGACTTTTTTTTGTATGGACGGCAACCCGGGCAGTCGTAATTTTTTAAAAAACCCAGAAAATATTTGAGAAAAATTAATTACATAAATTTGAATTTGATTTTAATTCTGAGCGAGGAAAACAAGCGAGTAGCTTTATGAATACATTCAATAAATAAAAAAAAACTAACTTTTTCTCAAGGTTGGCTGCTCCGGGCAAAATATAAAATTCGAGACATCAGTCGTCAATTAAAGCTTAATTCACTTATGTTCTACGCGTTCGAAAAGTTTTCTCATCATAACCACGCACAAAAACACCAACTTGGAAAAAATTTCTGCCGCTTGCACAGCAACTGGTTATCTTCAGATTCTACGCAAAAAAGTTGCCGCCAAAAACTGAGGATTCAGGATATGCATTTACTTTTTTCAGTTGACCTTTATGTTTCCAAATAATACGAGGACCTAATAATAATCAAATTTTTTTCTGAATTTCCAGTGAGGGCATCTGATTCTTTGTTTAAAAAGAACACACAAACGTTTAACTAGATGAGCGGTCAATAGTGTCTTCAAAACATTGAAATGCGAAA